CTTTCGAGTCGCTTGCATTGAAAATGCTTACGAATGGTTTTTTTTGAGAAAGTAGCTGTGTGAATATGCTTGAACTCAAGTAACTTATAGTAATCTTGTAGAATGTGGGAACTTGTGGCAAAATCAGCTGCGTTTTCAGCAGTTGCAAGCAGCATTGGCACGACGCATTCTGCAGAGCAAAATGGTGCAATTAGAAACGATTGTGTTCTGACATGAGCTGAAATCATGGAAAAATTTGAAGTGATCGGAGACCAAAAGAAAACCTCAAAAAAGCAGGCGAGATTCACTGCTTCAGAAGTTGCTGATGTAGGTACCCAAATACGAATGGCTGTTTGTCGACACAACATGGAAAATGAATCCGAGCAGAGATCTCTCTGTGATGATTAATCCAATCGTTCATTTCAGCGTTTTCTAATATCCAAATGCGCAATGCGCAGAAGATAGCATACTTAACAGTCTACAATTTTTCAGTGCAAGTGACTGTGACAGCGTAATAAATTGTTTGACAGCTATTTAGTTACCCACGAGTTAAATATCATTTAGAATCAGTATTCTTCTCTCACTCGTAATCGTTTTTTATTATGAGGGTAGACAAAATAATAAAAGTTTTCTTCGCGTGTTTTTTGAGGATAAATACAATGGATGGCTTTCAGCCCTGGTCTTGCATGTCTTTTTCATAAATAGATTTGCTTTTAAATGAATGATGAATCCAGTCAGTCACAAGTTATCACGACGCTGCCTCTGTATTTGATTGTTCCAACTTCGCATACTACTTATATACTTTACGGTTATTGTAGCTAGGTGTGACTTTTCTCCATTGTTATTCATTTCGATTTGCGATCCTGTACTTTGATATTTGACTGCTTTTTCTGACGTGGACGTGTGATTGAACTCATAAGGGTGCAAAGTTCACAATGGTATGTTTCCCAGTTACAGTGTCTGTCACCTTTATAAGGTTTACACGTTAATGAAGAATTTTCTGTTACCGTTATAAAGTATATAATTTTCTTTTTCTTATCCCACTCAGCCAACAACGGTGTGGGTACCGTACAAAATTCGACTTTGATTAAATGATTGCATGCTCATTCTTTAGCCCTCTCGATATTATGCCAGTTTTAATGAGACCTTTCCATTTTGTTGCAGAATTTCTTGGAAGTCACGTGATATCAGACATTGGGTTCAGTATTGACTTCGCAAGACGACTCTCGTCCATTCGCCAGTAATAGCCCACTGTCTTAAATATTTTGTTTGGAGCCAAGTTGTCACTATTTGAATATTCTAATGTGTCCCTTACGACAGCGTCTGACACCAGATTGTACCAGTTCACTCTTAATAGTAATTCATCATCATCTTCCATCGCCGCTTCTCCTTTCGGGTCGCGGAGGCAGACGCGTCAGACAGTGCTTCCA